ACAACACAAAAACATGGTGGAACCTGAGGCTGCTCTCAGCTCAGAGATGTGCTTGCAGCAGCTTTGCTGGAGAGTGCCCTTGGGATCAATATTTGTGGGAGAGAAAGGAAGCAGAACTGGGCGGAGGGAGGACTTGAACTCCTGTGTGATTGCAACAAAGGCCTCAGAGACCCCACAGGGCTCTCTGGAGCTGCTGAGACTTCAGGCTGCCTTGCCTTGAGGCAGGGGGCCAGGCCCTGTTGCCTCTGCTCTGCAGTCCTGGGGTGCAGACTTCTAGGGAGGACGCAGGCCCTTGGATAATTCCTGGAGAGGGACCTCGGTGAGCACCACCAGGCATCCACACGACCAGCACCCATCGTCCCAGGGCTTCTCAGACTGGCACATCAGCATCTACTCCAGGAGATGCTGAAACACAGATTGCTGGGCCTCACCCCCAGTAGGTTTGTGGGGGGGGGGGTTGTCCAAAGTTTGCATTTCTAACAAGTCCCCAGACGATGCTGATGCCATTGCGCTGCTCCTATATTCTTCAAACAACAAACCTAAAGGGAGTTTTCTTAATCTTCTGTGGCTCCTCCGTCTGCACCACGCGTTTCGGCGCTCACCTCCACGTGTGCTCAGCACCTGGTGTCTGTAGCTTATCTTTTCCGTGGGGTCATGAGGTCACGGGGCTGAAAAACCAGTTTTTGCTCAGTTAATACCTCTCAGATTGAACTGATTTAATATTTATGCTCTGGGAGCGTGCGGTTTTTCTTTGATTTTGTGATCTGTTTTGTGAATTCACTGGAATTGCTGGATGAAGGATTCTCAGTATTTTCTGGATTAAAGAGGCGAGTTAGGGAATTGAAACCTGCTTGAGAAGATGAAACCATCTCTTCTGACTTCCCTTCTTTAAAAATGTAGGTCAGTGTGACTTAATAAATTTCACGTTTTCTATAAATATATTTTGGCTGCTGTCTTACGCTCTGAGATGGATCTTTGTTGTTTTTCCAAAACGGTGTTTTAATATGAAATACAAAGTACGACATTTTGTGACCCATTTCTTCCTATTTCTTGAAGTCTCTCATACTTGACCAATTTTGCTTTTTTCCTCTCTAAATGCTTTTAAAAATAAGATTGTTTATAAAGCACATGGTTTCCATGTCCTAATATTAATGCATTATATAGGTTTTTTAAACCAACACGAGACATGTGTATACATACATACACGCAGACATATATATAATTGCACATAAATAAATACCCATTTTACTATATGTATGTAAGTCTTGTAAAGATGCTATATTCAGAAACTTACTGAAATCCCACAGATGTTTTCATGGCATTTATTTTGTTGTTTATATATTTAATAAATACACAATATAGAAAAACGGAAAAAGCATAATTAAGAACAATTAAATCACCCATAACCTGACCATAAATATCACAGGCGTGTTTGGGTGATTTTCCTGCGCTTCTTTTTCTGTGTGTGGTCACCACCACGGACAGCCTGATACGCGTGGTGGTGCTCTGCTTTGTCTGTTTCATTCTAATATTCTTTGAAAGCCTGATTTTTAAAACTGCGTGAGAGTCCAACTTAGTGCTATAATGTATTTATTTAACTATTTTTGAAATATTTGCAATGTTTTTAAATTTTCAAGGAACATCAAGTTCTGAAAGATGACATGGAAGAATTTTAGTGATACTTGGGGTTCAGCTAAAAACGTGGTTTCAGCCTCTCATTCCCGGAGCTGACCGGCTGTCTGCCTGTTGTGCTCGGAAGACGCAGCCTGCGCCTCGCTTTACACCTCATTGGCTAATACTCTGAAAAAGATGTTAAAGTCTGGCATTCTTACACAAAGATACCAGAGTGATTGCTAACATAGCCTCGTGTAAATGATCCCTGTGAAGGTTCAGAATTTTTTTAAGATTTCTGAGTTGTTTTTCATGCGATCAGCTAATGAATTCAGCCCAGCTTCCCCCAACCCAAACCTTTCTCTCCTGTTTAGCATTTTTCACTTTTTTACTCCGGGATGTACAAGCCCTCACTGGTTAATTATGTATATATTTAGCTACTGCATGTGTTGGGCTTATTATTGCCATCTAATTAGATGTAACTTGAACTGCTTGCTTCTAGAAAAATCATTAAAAATTCTTTCCTAATGACCTAGAGATGACAAAATGTCTGTAAAGTGTGAAGAAGCAGACAAGCGCAGGAACGTTGCTCCTAAGGACTGTTAATCCAGACATTGCTGTCATCTAATTAAACAATATTTTGCTGTCATTAACATTGTCACCAAGGAATTGCGGTTATAATTTCTTTGTCAGCTGTCTCTAGATCACTTTACCTTCAAAACTGAAGTGCCATATAAAAACATTAAATTGGATGGTTTAATTAAAAAGTTTTTTTTTAAATGAAGAAACATACGCAGTGTTTCTGAGATCTCATTTACTGGGCTTCACTTTTATTGTTCTAGTAGATTAGTGTTATAAGCTTTGCAATAGTTAATATTCATCTTCTGAGATTAATCCTTCTGAGCACAGTTGATGAAAAAGTCTACTTACCACTGCAGAAAAGAAAAGAACGTACCAATTACAGCACAAGTTTATTTACTAAATTTTAACTAATTTAAAGGAAGAAAAAAAATCAATTGGTAAGTAAGTGTGTAATTATGCCAGAACTTAACATATATTACTTTGGAATTATTTTACTTTTTAGTTAATTCAGTAACTGTTTTTTTTAATCACAAAAGTGTTCAGAACAATAAAGTAATAATGCCAATTCCTGATTAAAACTCTTAAATGCAGAATACCAAAGGACCATTGGATCACTCTTTTTGTTCCATAAGATTTTAAGTATATTGTGCACTTATAATTCAAATAGAACATACATACTGATTGTCCATGTTCCAAGGAAATTTTTATTTTTAAAAGGTTTTTAATATTAACAGGTCAGTACATTTCTTTATAAAAATGTATTTATTAGATTAAAAATGTTGCCATAAAGCTTGAAACCAAAAAAAAAAAAAAACAATAACAAAACAAAACCCATTGCCGTCAAGTCAATTCGGACTCATAGCGACCCAACAGGGTTGGCCCCATAGGGTTTCCAAGGAGCGGCTGGTGGATTCAAACTGCCGACCTTTTGGTTAGCAGCCATAGCTCTTAACTACTATGCCACCGAGGTTTCTATAAAGCTTTAATAATGTAAAAAATCACTAAGTTTTTCTTAGTATTTATTTTCAAAGAATCATCCAAAGATTATTAAAAGAGAATTACTAATCATTCAGGACAGATAAGTTACCGAGAGCTATGACAGACGGCATGAATCTGTTATTTTGTGTTAGTGTTTTTAAACTGATGCTTTCTTCCCCATATATTTTTTTCTAAAAATAGCATTATGCCTTTTCCCTTACTAGAAAGTCATTTCTATTCAATAATTGTTGTTGGGTGCCGTCAAGTTGATTCCACTCCCAGTGACCCCACGTGACAGAGCACAACGGCCCCAGAGGGTTTCCCAGGCTGTAATCTTTACGGGAGCAGATCGCCAGGTGTCTCTCCACAGAGCCGCTGAGTGAGTTCGAACCACCACCCTTTCAGTTAGCCACCGAGCGCTTAACCATTGCACCACCAGGGCTCCTTTTAAATGGCTAGTGTCTTCAAATGTGGTCAGATACGGTTTTCGCTGAAAACACATTAAAATATTTTTTAAAACAATAAACAGACAAACTCAGCGTGTGGTCCAGCAGCTCTCCACTGAAGGGAAACAACATAATACAATAAACAAATCAACAAGCTCACCCACTTCAAGGAGTGAAAAACTGCGTATTTGGCATCGGCCTCTGCACTGTTACTGGCTTCCCAGCTCTGCTGTTCGCTTGTAAATTCTCTGCACTGATTCTCTACATAAGCTCAATGTCACCTTCTTCTGCACACTGGGTGTACATATTCATTGTAATAGAATACCACCCCATAACCTGTGAGTGTGCGGGTCCGCAGGGCATCTGCTTGCTCTCGTTCGGGGACCCGGATGGTGAGGCTCTGCTCCCAGGTTGTGGAATCACCCTCAGCACAGTCAGCAGGGGAGAGATGGAGCAGGATGGCTCACGTGGGGGACTTTTCCATGGACCAAGCCCAGCAGTGGCATATGTCACCTCGTCCATAGTCTGTGGACAAGAGCTAGGTCCCAGGGCCGTGGCTTCTTATAAAGGATGCTGTTGTGGATTGAATTATGTTCCCCAAAAATGTGCATCAATTTGGCTAGGCCATGATTGCCAGCATTGTGTGGTTGCCTGCCATTTTGTGATCTGATGTGATTATCCTATGTGTTATAAATCCTACTTCTGTGGTGTTAATGGGGCAGGATTAGAGGCAGTTATGTTAATGAGGCAGGACACAATCTACAGGATTAGGCTGTATCTTGAGTCAGTCTCATTTAAGATATAAAAGAGAGAATTGAGCAGAGAGATGGGGGACCTCATCTCACCAAGGAAGAAGCACCAGGAGCAGAGCGAGTCCTTTGGACCTGGGGTCCCTGCACTGAGAAGTTCCTAGACCGGGGAAGACTGATGACAAAGACTTTCCCCCAGAGACAACAGAAAGAAAGCATTCTCCTGGAGCTGGCACCCTGATTTCAGACTTCTAGCCTACTAGATTGAGAGAATAAGTTTCTATTTGTCAAAGCCATCCACTTGTCGTATTTTTGTTATAGCAGCATTAGATAACTAAGACAGAATGTGAGAAATGTCACCTAGCTCAGGACAAAGAGAAATCAACTCTGATAAACAACTAGCAGTCTCTGCCACAATCATAGATTTTGAAAAGTAATTCTAGTAACTCATTTTTTAATTGTTACTGAGTGAATTTACTTGAAAAACATTGTTATAAAGTGTTTTTAATTAAACCACGTTCAGTAAACAAGAGTTCCTTTTGACAGGCAGTAAGTTGCCTTATCTATTAAAAGAACAGGAACTATTTCATAAGCAATTAATGTATCTAAATTTTCATTTCTTTTTCTTTACTAGGACGGACGTATAATGATCTGAACCAGTATCCCGTATTTCCATGGGTATTAACAAACTATGAATCAGAAGAATTGGATCTGACTCTTCCAGGAAACTTCAGGGATCTGTCAAAGGTAACGTGTAAACACCTAGCAGCCACTTTTCTTCAGAAGGCCACATTCTAGAGGCATGTCTCCCTGAGCGTGTAAATCCAGCTCACGTAAACCTGGTTGTCTTTTCCTTCTGTAGTCACTGTTTAAATCTCATCAATTCTTACCAAAGAAATTCAGCTACAAGGAGATAAATCGGTGTTTAAAAACCAAACCCATTGCCATTGAGTCAATTCCGACTCATAGCGACCCTATAGGACAGAATAGAACTTGCCCCATAGGGTTTCCAAGGAGCAGCTGGTGGATTCGAACTGCAAACCTTTTGGTTAGCAGCCTAAGCTCTTCACCACTGTGCCTCCAGGGCTGGGCGTTGATTTTAGCAGAGGCAAAATGAAATGGATATGTGAGAAAGAGCAGATGTAGGGAGAGGTTGCTCAGATACCCTAGGCTCTAAAGGGGAGAATCCTGAAATTACTGCGAAATCGGTTGGTGAATCACTTCTGTGACATGTTTCTCAGGTGATGAGGTAAAAGTGCAAATAATACCTCGTTCATAAAGTACACGCACACACAGTGGAGAAGCTTCATACTCTATAGAAAGCAGGTACAATAGTTCATCAAGGGTCTGTTTAGAAAGAAGAGAGAAGATCTGATCCAAGAAAATGGCAAGAAAAAGATAATATAATGAGAAATAATTAACGGCAAAATACTGGTTTGTTCACCTTGTTTGTCTAGACGACACTGAAGTGTGGAATCCTGAACAGTTTGAAATGCAGTGAAGAACTGGGAACGAAGCCCAAAAAGCTTCTCTGTAGCCTGAGCTGATATCTGAGCTGGGCCCTGAAGGGTACGTCCTTCAGCCATAGGAGAGCCTCGGTCCATTCACTCTTTGCTGTCAGACTCGGATGTCTGGTTGAGCATTTCGCGGAAGGGTAAAAGGCACAAGTGTGTGTCTTCTGCCTGGTTCTGTGGGGTTGGGGGCCTCTTGGGGAAGGGCAGCCTTAGCCCTGGAGTCGGGAATCACGCAGATTCTCCAGGCGGAGACGTGAAGAGAGAGCCTGTGGAGCGGGAGGACTCCAAACCACGGGGACTCCACTGGGCCGTGTGTACACAAGGAAGTGTGCAGTGTGTTTAAGGTCCTGTCCCTGAAGTGAACTTAAGGTATCTCAGAAGTTCTCTTTCTTGGCATATCTCGTTTCTCTTTAAAACAAGAGTCACTGGAGCTCTGGTGCTGCAGTGGTTAAGAGCTTGGCTGCTAATCAAAAGGTCAGCAGTTCGAATCCACCAGCTGCTCCTTGGAAACCTTATGGGGCGGTTCTACTCTGCCCTGTAGGGTCGCTATGAGTTGGAATTGACTGACGGCCACAGGTTTGGTTTGGTTTTTGTGCTCTGGTGGCACAGTGGTTAAGGGCTCAGCTGTAACCAGTAGGTCACTGTGCATTACAAAGGTGTTTCAGCCTGAGACAGAGATGAGACAGACATCACGGCTACCTTAGAATGTCCAAACCCACTGCCACTGAGTCGATTCCAACTCATAGTGACCCTACAAGACAGAGGAGAACTGCCTCATAGGGTTTCCAAGGACTAGGTGGTGAATTCAAACTGCCAACCTTTGGGTTAGCATCTGAGCTTTTAACCACTGCGCCACCATGGCTCCTCAGAATGTCCATCTGTCTGGTTATTGGAAGTGGGGCAATTTGAAGAAAAAAAGAAAAATGACCTCTTGACTACATGGAACTTGAAGAGCCTAAATTTTGAGATGTTCCTTACAGGGTAACCTATGGGATTGAACTACCGAAAGGGATGAAGTAAGATACTGTGTCGGGGAGGATACTGCATTGCCGCCAATTTAACATGAAAGCCACAGATGGTTTTTAACTCAGAGCACTTCTCCTGCCTTTGAAAGCAAGACCTACCTAACTTCAAGTTCCGCATTGCACTACTTCCTAGCTGTGTCTGTGACCCGAAGCAAGTTTCCCTAAGCTTCAGTTTTCCTGTTTGTGATAGGAGAGTGATAATGCTTTCCTACCTCGTTCAGTGGCTGTAAAGATCAAATGGCAGGTGCATTTAAGAATGTTACGTAGCCCATGGCCGTAGAAGACCTTCAGGGCTATTAGCTATTATTGTTGTATATGACATATCAGCCTGTTTGTGAAGCCTGTGTGCTAATATTTTCATATTCTTATCTGTGATTTGCTCACCAGTTCTTTTATTTTATGTGACTTCCTTACCAAATCTTAGTTGCTTGCCTTGTTGCTAGTTTTAGTTATGGTATTATAGATTCTAAAGAGATCTAAGAGACCAGATAGACAACATCTTACTGACAGTCACACAGCTGGTAAGAAAACTAGCAATTGAATTCCAGTATGGCTGCAGATACAGTAGTTTTTCCAAAGCTATTCAAATGAACAAAAATCTTTAACCGCTTTTCATATGTAAGCAATTACTCATACTTGGGTAGTGTAATTCACAGCCTGCCCTCAGGGAGCAAATCTAGTTACATCTGATCTGAATGAGAAAACCATTTCCCCCAAATAAATAAGAAGGTACTATATTATATAGAGACCTATCAGAGAGGCAGTAAGTCGTGGTTAGGATTAAGAATTCTGGAGCCAGACTGCCTGAGTTCGAATCCTAGTTCTGGCAATTATTACTTTCTGTGCCTCCGCTTCCTTCCCTGTGCGTGGGGGCAGTGATAGTAGTGCCTCCTAGATACACGGTGAAGAGTCGATGAGCTGATAAATCAAGGAACTTAGAACAGTGCCTGGCACCCAGGGTCAGATAGTATTACGCGTATAAAGATGACATGGTAAGCTGTCGGTAATAGGCCATATACACCCATTACCGTCGAGTCAATCCAAACTCACAGCGACCCCATGTGACAGAGTTGTACTGCCCCATAGGATTTCCTCGGCTGTCATCTTCGTGGGAGCAGATTGCCTCTGCCGTGGAGCTGTTGGTGGGTTCGAACTGCCGACTTTTTGGTTAGCAGCCAAGCGCTTAACCACCGCACGATATAGTTTGAATTATTATCAAATAATGATGATAAATAAACGCTACTACATCTGTATTTTTGAATGATATACATTTAAGACATGATTTGCTAAGGTCAAAGTGTAATCTTTAGGTGTAAAACAAAACCAAACTAACTCATTGAGGATGAAGCATGGGAGCAAGCCTAGTTCTTTAACAAAATCTTCTCTGTATATGTTTTATTTGATATTAATTGAATAACCATTATGTATTAGACACTGTAAATTTTGTGTATACACACACACAACAAAAATTTAGGGTATAGATTCTCAAGTAGTATGATACATAGTATTAAAACATAATGAACTGCTAACTGAAGGGTTGGAGGTTCAAACACACCCAGCAGCTCTATGGGAGAAAGGCCTGGCAATCTACTCCCGTAAAGATTACAGCCTAGAAAACCCTATGGGGCAGTTCTACTCTGTCACATGGGGTCGCTATGAGTTGAACTTGATAGCACCTAACAGCAACAACAAACTAGATTTGCCTGTGCACTTAAAAAAAAAATAGGAGCTGACTACTTTTGGGAATATCTGATTCTTTTTAAAACAGGGAAGTGGGTTCTTTTCTTTGAAATCAACTGGTGACCAAGCTTCTTTTCTTTCTTTTATTCACTTATTAATCCTTTTGGTCAACAAATATTTATCAAGCTTTCACTGTATGTATCAAGTACTGTACTAGGTGGAAGGGTTTACAGAAGTGAATAAAACAGACCTAGTCCTAGCCCCCCTTGAGTGAGTTCAGTCCAGAGCAGAGGTGAAAACTCACATAACAGAAACATATGAGGCCGGTGCTGAGAGGTGTACTGGGGACGGCACGCAGTAGTTCCAAGCACCCCCACGTCAGTAACAAAATGGCTGCAAGAGTTGCGGACTTCATGTCATACCACCCAACAAAGAGAGCGCGTCTCACCAGGGAGAGTGCATGGTCTACTTCTCTCAGACGTGTGGACTCAGATACCCTTAAAACACGATCCTGGGCAAAGAAGATTTGGCCCTCATTACAATTAATACGGATTATAGAAGGCATATGGCTAAATATTTGCTAGTAATGATAGATTTTTAATTTATCCCCATGGAAAATAGGAGATATATTAAATGAGAAGGTCACTGTTTCCCAAAGTAACTGGAAGATGTAAACATTCTTCAGGCTTTTCAGCTGATGTTGGATCTGTATTTCCTTTGGCCAAGCATTTCTTCTCCGCAACTCAGATGTACTCGTCTGATTTCATCCCGTGTCAAATAGAAGAGGCAGCCGGAACAAGCCTACATTAGCTAGGCAACGTGGACACTGACCTCACATTTGCAAGTCGGGAGCACTCCATGTTATGAACATTTCAATCCATGAGCTCTTAAAAGACAGATAGTGTTTTCTTCCAATTCTCCAGCAGTCCATCTTTAGCAATTTGTTCTTTATATTCTGTCAGACTAACATGATAGGAAAATGCTAGCAAATTAAAGCCTCTTGATGTGTTAATAAATTACTCTGGCCTTGCTTCCATGCTTCACTGAATTTCTTAATAGGAACTTCTTACCAATGGGCTAGAAACCCAAGACCATCCTGTATAAAAACCATTAATAAACAAGATTTTAATGTATGAAAATATATCATATTATATGCCTAATGGGAAAATGACGCCTGAAGTATAACCATATAATTGGAAGGAAAAACTGATAATACACAGGCAGCACATGGAATTCTTGGAGTTAAAATCGGTGCCACAGTTGAAATTTTTAATGTTACTCCTCAGAAGTTCAAGCAAGAATTAGAATGTTTGAAGATTACTAACCAGAAACATTTGAAAAGACCTCTGACAACAGAAGTAGTTATTTCTAAACAGAGATTGGGAGCCCTGAGCCAAGTAATGCTTAGCAGTGAATAATTCTGGAATTTGTTCCAAAATAAACGTTTGGATCCCCAATAGCTTTCTATATTCTTTAGTGTATAAAAAATGTATCAAACCGAACAACCAGAATGCAGTTAAAGAGAATG